TTGGATGGTAACGCCGGCTTCTCCAGGGAGGACGCAAGTCGAGGGGAGAGATAGCTCGCAAGCTCATCCTCCACCCGAGGCATCCTCCCATAACCACGGTCCCTAACCCCCATCACATTACTGTAGTTCAGTGATCGGGGTGTGGAAAGCCATGTAGAGAAGGGTCTGCCCCATGATTTACTCAGTTCATCATGTAAATCAGGAAGAGATCGGCGTGGAGGTGGTGCGTGGTGCTTAAGAAACCTTTCATCAAGCTTACCACTAGCCTGTGGTGTCTGCTCCTCCTGTCTCTTGGTGTTGAGCTTAGCCACGGCTCTAGTTACCACCTCCAGCAGCACGTCATAGTCGGGCGCGGCCAGATGTCGCCGCCCCGACACCCGGAAGTCATCGTCCACTGCGCTGAGCAGGTCCGCCTCCTCGGAGTCGGATTGCTGCCGCGTCTCCGGATCCAAACCGCGAGCGGGAGAAGCCGAGAACGGGCACCCGAACGAGGAAAGGAAGCGTCGGAGCCAGCGGATGAAGGTCGGGAAAAAGCCTCAGCCGTCCCGAAATCCTCCGACAGATCACGCTGTGAACCCATGAGTGAAGCCGCCGGGCCGCCTCAGCGGCCGCATGGCCCGCGCCACGGGGAAAACACATCCGGCCATCCTCGGAAAAGAGAGCCATGCGGGACCTCAGTACCCGCACGGAAAGGGCTTCGCAACGGGCGCAGGCAGCCCCCTCGAGAGCTGCCCGTGCGTGCTCCATTCCCAAACATGAGAGACACATCTCATGAGAATCTCCATCCGTGATGTACCGAGGGCAAGAAAAAACACACCTTCTGTACATCTGATTGCCGGACATGCTGGTAGACTTCTTCTTCAGGTAAGACACACTGCTTGTAGGACTGGAGCTTTCTTCAAACAACATACAGAGCGCCTGCTGAATAAAAAAAAGCTAATGATGAGTGTGTACAGGTGTGCTTTATACTCCTCCGGTTATTCCGTCACACCTTACCGTTCTAGCAACAGGCCAATAGGATTGGAGTGATTTCATTCACGTTCAGACCTGCTTCGCCTAGAGGCGTTCCCATAGTGTCGTAACCGACGCAGTTCGAGTTCCCTCGAAGGGGAACTAACAGTTTTCTCCCAATAAGTTAATATACAGCCTATTACAATATACATTTAAACGTTTAATGCTGTACATAAATATGTAAAAATAATAAAACTTTCAATAAATGTTTTGAAGTGTGTGAATAAATCCAAAATTGTAACCCTAACCCTGGGGCGTCAGTGCGCATGTGTAAGCGTAGCGTGTATGTGTGCAGTGGCAGTGGAAGAACACTTGCTAAAGAGACGGAGCCCCAGCCTCACTGGTGTTGTGCCGAGTTGTCATAAACCTCGCGGGACTTTTGGATAATTTATCACCGTTGATGAACCACATAAAGAATATTTTATTAATCGTTTTTAAATACTTGAAATAGACCCGCGAGGAACCGCGACGTGCATGCAGTTGTTGGCAGCAGTAATGCACATAAAACTAGATCTATCTATCTATCTATCTATCTATCTATCTATCTACTGAGTGGTTAAGGACTCAACACTTGGTCTTGACTTGTCACAGCAAAACAATAAATTATTCTCGCCTCTGCTCCTGTCTTTCATAGGTTTTTGTGGTATGAATTACATCCAACAAATTAGTAGGGTTTTGTCTGAAATTACAGTTATGGGCCTCTTGTCACTCATAACAGGTAAAGGACTTTTTTCTGAATTTCATTTAAATTATTTTTTTCCATCCTGGTATCTTGATGTTTGCCAATACAATCGTGTCCTTTTCTTCCAAACATGTTTTAAATTATAATACCTTCACATACAGTAAAGAAAGAACTTCAGCACCCACCTTTTGTTATTTCTACTTAGGAGGTAGAGTTTAATAACTGAAAACCCCAATATGAAGGTTTCTTCCATCAGCCAGGGGTCACACTGGTGTAGACATACTGGGATCTGAGAAGTGTGTGTGTGCGTGAGTGTGTGTGTGTGTGTGTGTGTGTGTGTGTGTGCGTGAGTGTGTGTGTGTGAAACAGAGAGATTGACAGCACTGTCAATTTGGCAGTTGAGGCGGGCGTCATGATTGATGGGCCCAAGCAGGCGCTAACCCTTAGATTACCCTATAGACACACACACACTCCCACACATGCACACACATTTGTCCATCTTTCTATTTTTTTTCACATCTTATTAATTAGTTGAGAATAAAAATAGTTAAAATTTGACATGTGTGAAACACATGCAAACATGTAATCTGTAAAATTCAAGATGCAAGTACGTACATATGGAGAGAGAACACCATAGTGATTGTGCTAAACAATATAATTTATTCAACTGACCTCACATATGTTTACAACTATATTCTTATAGACACTGCATGGATAGATAAATAGCTGTAATTTCACTGTCAACAAACATTTTCAACGATGCATTTAAAAGTAGACTTGAATTTGATCCTATGCTTTTTTTGGTATTTACATTTATCACACAAAAATACAGCAGAATTGCAATTTACAACATATAGCCACAAATGTGCCAGTTTAACAGCTGACATTGATTCTTCTCTGTGTGCATTCAGGTTTCTGAATTAACCTAAGCTACGACACACTTATTGTGAGGCTTATCTGATGAAAACGAGAGTTTACATTCACATTTGAGTCCAATGAAATTGCCTGACACTTTGCATAGCATCAGACTAGCAGTCAGTCACCCCGCTCAGTTTGAAGCTGACTTCACCTTGGTGGCAAATCATAAATCCCATTTGCGTTTCAGAGGATCAGGTTGGGATGTGGCTGTGTACGGAGATCAAGTCCCCTTCGACTAACTGCAAGGCCATCTCGCCACCTTAAAGGATAAGGCTGGTGTTATCCTAGATTTTTCTTATTGTCACTAAATCCCCTGAAAAGACCAAAATCAACAATGTATTGATCTTTCTAACAAGTATTGTCTGTGTAGCCAAAGCCTGATGTATCTTGTTCCTCTGAGACATAGAGCTCCACACCTTTTCACTGGATAACATATTCCTTCATTAAGATTGACATGAGCACAGTAGTTTAATTTGAGTCAGTTCCACAAGACATCGTCCTGCTGCCAAAAATACTCAATATAACAACTATATTTGTGAACCCTTTTTAAAGATTTACATCTTCATAAGGAATGAATGGGCTTGCAGCTGAGTGCCATAGACAGGGAAGTCAGACAATACTGAGAGACTGAGTAACACATTGTTGGTTTTGGTCTTAAATTTCAATAATAAAAAAAATCACAATATCACTAGCCTTATCCTTTAACTGAAAAATGCTTTCAATAAGAGTGGTCACTTTTTGCAAGCGTTACAAACTCAGTCATTTGCCCTGGCTGACCTTTGAATTAAGGCGAGTCTATAGATTCAAAAAGACACCAACAAAACACAACAGTTCTGAGGAGATAAGCACAGATAAGTAAACTGGACAGTAGTAACACTTAACAATTCCAAAAATCACTGTATCTCCTCATAAAGAGCAGCAGTGTGCCTGGTAGTCTGAAACAGCCAGTAACAACGTTTCAACTTTCATCACTGAATGAAACAGACAGAGTTTCAAACCTCTTTTTAGCATTAATCAAACGCACTGAGGGCTAATTGACTGGGGATTGGATCAATAATGACCGGTGCTACTGACACCATCCCGGGAGGAACAATCATTTCTTGTTCCTCCGCTAACCTGCTGTGGCTGGCCAGTCAATACAGGTTCAGGATGACCAAACAAATCATCATAGGCATACACACACAAATTTCAAAATAGCTTCTGTGAGATAATTTTGGAGGACCATATCAGTCGTTTAAAATTATATTAATGCATTATGCTGTACATTAATGTCAGTTATTTCCAGAGCTTACTGTATTGTTTTAAATTTGTATTGTTTTACATTTATTTGTTTTTCAAAATGTTCATAATTTCCAGGCTGCTATTGGGTTCCAGTCCCTTATATATAAAAACAAACTTGCGAAATGAACATTATGTGCTTTTATTGTTGTCAATGTTTTGTGGCAATGCAGTTGTAAATGCACATCAATTCAAAGATGTACCACACAACAATAAGTTTGACAAAAACAAAGATTGCAAATTGATTTCCCCAAAGTATGGAAATGAGTGGAAGCCAATGGCTGCCTGGAAAAAAACATTAAATAATCTATTGGATATTTGAATCTGTGTATATCAAGTCTGTAATGGTCTGTGATGAAAGCAGAGGCTCCTAAGGAATTACATTCATGATGATTATGCAGTAAACACAATTCCACACAAGCATGGAGTTCAAAGTGATGGAGGATGTTTGATGGGTTTGACTTTGACACGAGAGAGATAAGACTCGTACCGTCTTATGTGTACAGTTAATGACCATGACCATTATATTTTCTTATAGCTGCTATATATATTATAGTTGTTTTTTTCTAGCCCACTACCTTAATGTTTTGTTTCACTCTTATCGCTCTCATAGCATTATTTCCAGCTGCTAAAGGCAGCTGATCTCTGCAAAAAAAGCTAAAAAACTGAATGTACAACACCAAACAGCTGACAGATATAATTAGAAACTAGCCTGAGAACATAATAGAAGTTGGTGGAGAACAAATCAGAGCTAAAATGAGAGTGAACATTGCACTTACATTTGCTACATGGGGATATTGTATGAATAATTCATTTAAAAAGGTTGGCAGTGAATGTTAAAAATGTTATGACTAAATTTAATCTGGGGTCTTTCAATCCACCCAATATCATCCTTATGTTTGGCAACTCAAGGGTTTGATAATATTGCGGTGGTATATAGTTATTAATGCGACTCTTGCTGTCTCTGGAATTAGCAAGAATGACAGGAGGATTAAGAGCAATGTGAACACCCAACATAAAATAAGCACAAAAAAAACAATGACAGTAACTTGCAAATCCAGTACAATGTATCTATCTATACAACATAGATCCTAAAAATATTATTGCTCTATTAATAAATGTACTTATGCAAACTCAAATCTTAAAGTTTCTCGAGAATTTACTGGTTGTTAGGTGTACACATATACATCAACACACACACACACACACGCACACACACACACATACACACTTACTACTATGTAGACGTGGACACAATTCCATGATTAGATATTGCACGATTCTCATTAGCCACAGCAAACCCTTGTAGACGTTGTCACGTACGGTTTGTCCACTGCAGTCTCTCACTGTTTTCCCTTGAAAGTTCCTTCAACCACTGTAGCAGCACTTAAATTAAACTGGTTGTAGATTCATAGTCATGATAAAAAAAACAATGAGTATGGTATGCTTGACACAGCTGATTGACAGTCACCTTCCTGGTTCCTGGCAAGGAATCTTAAAAAAGAAGGAGGCACCATGTCATCAGCATAAAACAAACTTGTGGAGTCACTCAGAAGCCACAGCAGATTTCTGTTGATTTGGCTTCCAGTGCGGCAGTAGCAAGTTTCCTGAAGAATGTCGATGCCTCTTGATTATTCCTTCTTCTTCAAATTCCTTGGTTCTAGTTGACTTTGTGCCTTTGTTGTCTAGTTTTCATTGAGAAAAGCCTCTGGACTGGACACTCCATCATCACTGAGGATCTCCGTGTTGGTGAATGTCCCAGCGAGTGACTCACCCAGGGCCTGCTTGACAGGTGCCATTTCTGAAAGAATGATGTTATCATGGTTGCTCACCAGCGTGGCTTTGTCCATGATCTCCTTGCTATGCTTGGACACCACAGCATCCAGGAAGTCATACTTGTGTGACAACATACCACTTTCAAATAGGTACTTTGTCAGGTAAGAAAAGGCCATATTTGCCAAGAAGGATGCCACCATGGACACAGACTTGAATGGGAACCTCTGCTGGACAAAGTGCTCTACATCCCCAGTGAGGTGGTGGATCCTCTCCTGGTTCACCCAACCGGGGTAGTAGATGAAGGGAGGAAGTTTGAGGTAGGGCTCTCCTCCACCAATGCGTAGCACAAGACCAAAGATATAGGCAGCCACAGAGCCATAGGTGTTGGTGCCCTTGATGAATAACACACTGAGAAGTTGGGGAAAGATGATGACATAGACCAAGTCGGAGCTCAAGTACCACAGGCCATACACTGATCCTGTTAATAATGCCATAGCAGTGGCAAGAGCTCCGAATACAAAGATGGTGAGGCGCATCACCCACACAATCTCATTATCTGAGGCCTGGAGGAGAGAAGAAAGAGAAAACAGTGATGAAAACATATAAGAAGAAAAAAAAGTAACATCTGTGAACCACTGGGGTGAAACTAGAATTGATGTATTGATTATTTGACCGATGCTTTCCACAACTGTCTCAAATTGTGGTATTTGTTAGCATTATTGTTAGCACTCTTACCGACTGTCGAAAGGCGAGCTGATAGATGTTCCTGGCAAACATAGAGCTAGCTGAGAGAATGGATGAGTCAGCTGATGACATGACTGCAGCAGACACCGCCCCCAGACCAAAGAAGGAGATGTAGGGCGGGCAGAGGTGCTGAAGCACTATGGGAAGGATCATGTCTGATTCGTCCTTATCCTTCGGAGCGATGGACCCATAAGTAGTCTGGTTCCAGTCTGGAAGAAGAAATGGGAAACAGTCAAAAATGCATGATTGTAAAAGACAGAAATGTAAACACCAAGGCTTACTTTTGGGCCTCTTATGAGCCGATCAGTAATATTATCTGCATCCAAGTATCAGGATTATCTATGTGCTAAATTAAAAAAAAGTAGTTGCCTGAATAATTGGCCTGACCAAAAACAATGCAGTGACTTGTATGAGGCAATAACACAACATACCTGAAGTTGATCAGGCTATACTTGGCACACCTTCCTATGTTGAGATTAATAAAATTATGTTCTTGGCCACCTTGCAATTTTAAGAGGACTGATCCCTTAGCTTTTCAGACAAAAGGCTTGACCTGGAGACTTTTATAATGCTCCCGTGGATACGCCTGTTTTAGTTGCCGAGAAACTAAAGGCTTCACTGTGTGCTGAAATACAGCAGAGATTATCAATGTAATGCTCTGCTGTTAGTCAAAATACAGGGAAAAAGCCTCAGTAATATGAGGAATGCCAGAAATAATGGATACTTATTAAACATGGGACATCTATGTAATAATAATTATGGTTGATACACTGGTTTGTGCATATAGGGTCATTGGTCCCAAGTAAAATTACATTTTATTGTAAATTTGTATATAAATATAATTAATAATATTTAATGTGGGTTGTGGTGACGCAGTTGATAAGACGCCTGCCTTTTGTGTGAGAGACCCGGGTTTGATTCCCCATGTGAGCAAGACACTTAACCCCTAGTTGCTCCAGAGGCATGCGACCTCTGACATAATTAGCAATTGTCAGTCGCTTGTGTCAGCTAAAATGTAAAAATGTTAATGTATGCGAGAAGCCATTGATTCGGATAAGAAATTTTAAGCTAATTTAATACAGACGTTTGCATGGAGTTTAATTTGTCAGGGGGGAAACAACAAACATGCGCAGAGCTGCTTTGAGTTAAATGCTAACATGAGCAGGGTAACACGTTCAGTGACACTGCTAACACAATGATTTTTAGCATGTACAGCATAATATTTACCATTTTCACATGACCATAGTTTAGTGTGATACACGCTAACATTAGCTAATAAGCACTTAGGCCATTAAAGCTGAGGCTGATGGTCATTCAGTATTAGATAACGTTTTGGCCTGATGGTGCCACTAGATGATAAGTTAAGGGGTCACCAAAGTGTTTATAATCCACACTGAGGGGAACTTCCAATAGTTGTTGCCATTTCACCCCAAACAACAAATGTAAACCTCACGGTGGCGCTAGAGGGAAAAGTCAGGTGATCTCCAAAGTCAGTAGGATTCATTGCCTGGGAACCACGAGTGTCTCTAGCTGCCTCTATAGCAAATATGTTCTCCTGCCCTTCATATAGATCAAACTCCACCCATTCGCCACACCACTATGGTCCACATACTGTACTTCCATTCACTGGGACATTTGCTCTCTTTCCCCCTTGAACCCTCTGACATCTGACACTTTTTTCATCCTTCTCTCTACCTCCAGTGGTATACAATCTTTGCCTTTCTCTCCCTCCCCTGGATGTTCTCAAGCAGTTGTTGATTAGCGCCGGTTATACATGAAACAACTTCAGACGGAGCAGATTAATTAGCTCCTCTTCAGATGTAATATTCACAGAATCGGCATGGTCTGATGGCTCTCTCCTCTGCCCGTCGTGACAGTATCCATCTGATGTTGTTTACCCTCCAGATACTGTATGCATCCGCATTTACACGTCTGAATAAAAAGCTGCTGGGGTGTAAACAACCCAGGAAGGCATCGTGTTCCCTTTGATCACACTTTCCTGTTTGAATAAAGGATCAGATTCCTGGATGTTTCGATTGTCTTGTGATGTTTCATTAATTGCTTAATTAATGTGTGGCTGTGTGTGTGCACATCATTCATAGATCAGTGTCTGATATGTTTATGTTATCTGTGATAAAGCTGCAGTCCAGACGTAACTGTATGTGTCTAGAATAAAAATATTGGGTGACATTGCTGGTCATTTTTGTGTAATTTACATCTAATCCAGATGTAAATGACATGCAGTAGTGCTAAATCTATTGCTAGTATTTATATGGTTGGGTATTTCTAATACAAATGTCTTTTTAAAGTGTAAAACAAAAGTTTTAAAAACATTTCTATTCACAGCCATTGCTGTTTTAGGTGTGTGATATCTGTCAGCTAGATAAATACACATATCAAACAGTTTTTAAATCAAGTCCTACATGTTCTGAAGTGACCAGCTTGAATTATGGTATATTTTGAAAGCATCCACATAAAAGTGACTAACTAAGGAATTGTGGGGGTCCTGAAAATAGCTTTAAGTCTAGCAAAGCCCCATGTGTGTGTGTGTGTGTGTATGTGTGTGTCTGAGTGTGTGTATTTACCAGTGGAGGCCCCTATAGCTCCTATGAGGACAGAAGGGACGGCCATGACCAAGCAGCCGAAGGCAGCGAGGAAGGAAAGGACCTGGGCATAGGTAGCTGAAGAGGCAGAAAGAACCCGTTGAAAATAGACCTGCCAGGGAATCCCCCCCAACATCTAGAAACAGAAACACCATAGTAAATACAGACACCAAACCAACGCATAACAGACCAGCACTGGCACAGCTCTGAAACGTACTCTTAATGTTACAAATGTGTTGTGCAAATGCTTCTTAAATAATAATAATTATACTATATTATTAGTCTTTAAAAGGCAAGCTGTGTCTCAAACAAAAAACCTCTAGTGCCCCATCTTTCAATAGCACCTTGAATGCTTCACTTAAACCCTGTAAGACTTGACAGTGGAATCAAAATGTGTGTGTGTAAATTACTTAATGGATCTTATTGTAAAAAAAATATGGCTAACCAGCAAGCAGAAGTTGTCCGCCCAGAGCCATTTGTCTTCAGAGTCAATCTTCCCCAGCCAGGGTGACTGGTAGATTACTTCCTTGGCCGAAACAGTGATATCCGACACAGCAGGATTGGACATGGCAAAAGGCACGCTGATCCACTGATGAAGAGGAAAGAATGCAAATATCATTATTGTTATATAGATACAATATTTAGTGATTTTAATGTTTCCATTGTCAAAGCTGTTGACTCTGACACTGGATCCAAGTTCTACTTGTAGTTCCAAAAAATTCAATATCATTTTAAAAGTATACTGTAGCCTGGTGTCTTTAGGTGTAAATCAGTATGTTCCTGCCATTGTTACCCATCTCTGATATGAAGAATATGATACTTTTTTTGCATAATTAATACATTTTAATCAGCATTTTGATCCAATTCCACAAGTATAAATGGATGCATGCTGTCTTTTGGAAAAGGTGGATAAGAAAATTGTCGACACCTCAAAGATGAGTATAAAATACTGTCTATTGACAGCTTCACATTTTCAGCTAGCAAAATACAGGTAATGGTTTTGGCCTTCTTTGTCATCTCTAGAGTCCCATGCTGCATGTTGATAGTGAAACTCACCAAGCCCAAAAAGATACAGAAGAGCTGAACCACATCTGTGTATGCAACAGAATAGAGTCCTCCAACAAGTGTGTAGAAGATAGCTATCAGGGCTGAGATCACCACGGACATGTTGATGTTTATGTCCACAATCACACTGAGAGTGGCACCTATAGGACAACACATTCGGTCCCTCAGATACAATCGTGAGAGTTAAGAGAAAAGTGCACTGAATGTAACAGTTAATACGGTGCTCATGATGACAAAAGGACACATTTTTTGACATTTAAGTACTCCTGTCTAATAATTACCCACCAAGGGCAGATAAAATGGCGGCAGACCAGAAGATTTCCCCCATGAGCGCGGGGATGAAGAGCAAGCCGCCCATCCTTTTCCCATACAGCTGCTGGAAGGGATCCAGCATGGTGACGTAGCCACGTGAACGCATTGGCTTGGCAAAGAACAGGCCACCTGAATGATGTCAGACATTAAGGTAGGACAGACAATAGAGCAAAAGACCACTGTAAGAAATGTATTTTACACTCAGTTGAATCAATGAAATTGTATAATATTATTAACTTGTATGTAAGTGTGTATCTGGTGCTTAAGCAGAACTATCTCTGGTTGAAGCACTATAGCACTCCTGTTTATATGTACGATTATTCTGTATTTCCTAGAGGACCATACCAATGTTATTTTTTGCTAAACTACTACATCATACTCCCTGCTCATGCACCACAGGACAGTATAAACATAGAGGAACCTCAATAATGTTAATTTGCAGCAACTGCTGCTTTCATACTGTATAGGGTGCTTTGCACTATACTTTACACACACACACACACACACACACACACACTTTACAGTATAATTAAAGATTTTAAAAACATTGGTTCTTACCTACTACCAGGCTGAGAGCATAACCAAAGGGTGCCTGTGCCCAAGCCAGGCCAAAGTTTGGCAGGTAGACATACTCTGCTGTCCCATTGATGTAGCCCCCACCCACCCAAGTAGCTGAAAGAAGAAAAACCACAAGTATGTAAAAAGAAGACCAAAGACTAGGTTTGGAGCATGTAATGTTGCACAAGTTTATTCAAATAACAAGAACTCTAGTTTTGGTAGTCATGGTTGTGTATTGGGGAAGGAAAAGGATTCACAAAACCTTAGCTCGCTGTTGTTGCATCTTTAAGTAGTCAGAAATGTGATGCATGTAATGTTGAAAGTTGTGGTGGTAAATTATATTTATGGGCCCCTAGTGCTGTCCGTGCTAAAAAGGGGGTGTTTCTTTCTGAATTTAGATGACACCCATATGTGACGCGGGTCATGTTGAACACCTACTAATAAATAGGTGTAGTAGTTAAGCCCGTAGTTAACCAACTCACCCGTCATTGTGAATCCACCAACGAACAATCCGATGTCCCTCCCCCCGACCATGATGCTCTCGCTCCGGTCTACGCCAACACCGGAGTTCTTGTTCTTCCAGGCGGCCCAGATCCCCACGAACAGAATCAGGAGGTAAAAGATCACGATAGCCACTAGACCTGCGGCGTGGATGGCCATTTTCCTGTCGTCCGTTTCCTCCCGCCGAGATCAAGTGCTATTGCGCGCGGAGAACTGGGATCTCATAGAGAGAACTTTGAGGGAAAAAATGAGGAAGAAACACATTTTTCATGCATTGTCTTTTGCTTTGATCTGTAATAAAGATTTTTACAGAAACCTCACTTGGTGTCACACCGTTTACTATCAGGTCTAACAGCGCCCACATGAAAAAGAGCTATTAACATAATAATCAAGTTTTAAACACTACTATACAAACGTTTTGGTTGAGGCAACCAAACTACAAGATTTAATGTGTTGAGTGACCACATTATGTATTTTACAAACTAACACCCAGTCCCTTGCAGTTATAGAATACAAAGTGATTTAAATTTCACGTTTTTTTACGCACCAGATTATCTTCGGTTATACTGAAATATCCAGCTATGATAATTGCAAAATCACCACCATATATCAACACACAACTCTGAAGTCTCGCCGAACTCAAGCTGATGATGTTTTTTTGTTTTTTTTCAAGATTCAAGCCTCAGAGGTGAAATCACTATGGGAGAAAATTCAAAATCCGCATTTCCTACAAATAATAGTGAAAAAAAATAATTCTAACCTACATTTCAGGCTGAAAAACGCCTGGATTTTTTCGAGTCAGATTTCTGTTGGTAGCCTCTTTTGATGTCAAAACACTTAAGTGTAATGATATCGCTGCATCCAATGCATGCATCCAAACGTATACGAAACTGCTTTTACATTCCTGCTGGTTTATAATATATTTTACCAAACACAATGGATTCTTAGACAAACGATCAGTTGGCGCCGAAAGCGCCTTTAAATAAAAAAATCACAAATACTTAAGTGCCTTTTCCTCTTTGATCTTCGTCACATTTTGTGACTATAAAAGATCGTATTTAAACTCGCTCGTTAAAAGCTACAAAGTGTGACCCTACCTTACCGTGCCAAGGGACGCACAAGGAAGAGGAACAACCGGCACTCCATCATGTGTCAAATCCAGAAAAGTTAATAAAAAAATACAAAACTAGAAATTTCGGTAATGATCAGGGGAGTTCTCTTAGTATTGGTGCTGCACTTCAGCTTTTAAGACAGTTTAAGATGTTTTACGCGCGTCTTGTTGCCTCACTTTAATTATAGACATCGCTTAATACAATCGTTGTGCCAGTTTACTCACGCAATGTCTATACATTTTCCAGTAATTCCAATAAAAACTGTTCAGGCTGCTTTGTTGCCTAAAATGATTTTAAAATCTCCGACCGTCATGATTTTGTTTCCTTTGGCGCTTTTGTGCGTAAAAATCTATTGATGCTTCCCAAACGTGGCGCACCGTCACAAAACTGCGGACCATTAACCAAAAGGAGAACCAAGACAGATGCATAAGGGTTTTTGCGTACGATGTGCTGCATCACTTTCAAACCTGTGGGTTTCAGCTCCCGGTTGCGCTGACACCATGGTTCCCGCAGGCCGGTACTGCATTATTGATCTTGCGTTAAATCAACATCTTTCACTGTGGTCAAATGCAGTTACAGCCAGCCAACACATATTAGTTAAAGAAGAGAATATTAGAAACTGACATGACCTTACCTTCACTTTGGAGAAGCGGGCCTAAATCAATTGCAAGAGCAGGGCCTCCAAAAGAAGTGTGAAAGAAAATGTGTCAAAGATGTTTTTTGTCGGTAAAATGTGATGGTACCACAAAGTAAATCCTCTTGGACGACCAAGCACGATTCTCCTATGTTGTTTTTTAAGTCTCCAATGCTCATCGGAAAGAGAGACAGAGAGGGAGGGAGGGAGGGAGAGGGAAAGATCGAGGGAGGGAGAGAGGGTGGAGTGGTGGAGATGAATGGGAGTGGTGGGTTTATTGGGTGCTGTCAGGGTGGGTAGCTAGTGGATAAATGTCTTCCAGGGCAGGACGAAAATAGCACCTAATAGAGAGTGGCGTGACGCACAACCTCTCCGGGAAAGCTTTCCAATATCATAATATCATATTGGCAATGAATGAAACCTTTACTTTGCCAGGTTACATTTCAGGCCTGATTTACGACCTTGCTCTGCATTAAAGCATCGCCTTTATTTCTGCAAACGCTGGCTGTATGGTGGTAATGTTGAGTGTGCAAGCCCCGCACAGGATTACTTTTTCATTAAATGACCCACCTTACGCACGCCCCTCTGACTCTCCTTTTGGCAAAGAACATCACTCCTCTCCCAACTTTTTGCATTTAAACATCAAAATCCAAATCAACTCAGTACACATAGACACGCGTCACAGGGGAGGAGCAATAGCGACACACAGGACATTATTTTGGTCGCTTTTAGTACACTTTAAGTCGCTATTACTAAATCCACGCATCAAGTATTATTCTGAAGTAAAAGTAAAGTAACTTGTCCATGTTTTTATACCTCGTAAATGATGTTACCTCGTATAAACTGCCTTTAAACCACAACTAGAAACAGTTAAGGATCCTAAAAGCATATATTATCCAACTAAATGTGTTAGGCTACTTAATACTACTACTACTACTGCATCACGGAGGAGGTTTCTTTGGAGAATTCAGCAGCTGTCCATGGTGCTGAAATGTGAAAACAAACCTAAGTGCTCACAACGGAAACATTTTAGTTTATAAATAAGAATATTCGCGTTACCACATCGTTTTCACTTACTTCCAACATCTAGTCTACTACATTTAGTATAGGCTATTATTATAATATTAATATACAGAGTTATATTATATAGCTGTAGGCCTACTTAGTGTAAGTGAAACTATGGTGCTACTCAATGGAGAGTTTAGTTTGTGACCTTATTGGTCATTTGCCTTGATGTGAAGCCTTTTCGGTCTCATTATACCTTCAACTGTTGTTTCACACGGTTAATTTTTACAAGCAATCGACAAGCATTTTCCTTTAGTGAATTCCACACACAATTGAATCCACCGCTTTACCTGCTATATAAATGAGCTCCTGGATGTAAACGAAGATGCTGACTGGACTGCTGGAAATGAGACTTGCTTGAATTGTGAAGCGTCCCCTAATTTATAGTGTCTGTGCGGCTGACAGGCTGCCAGACACAGGGCAGCTCTAATTGGAGAGTTTTCTAAAAAAGTAAGCCTCCTAAACACCTCCACGGTGTTGCGGGTAGTCAAGCAGCCTGGAAGAGTCGCAAATAACTTTGCAATCAGCATCCACGAATGATAGTAATTTTTCATTTCCCATATATGGCTTAATGATCAGTCTCTATTGAGCCAATCATAAAAAGTGCTCTAGCTGCGCGCTAAATGTATCAACTGGCAGATCATATCACATCAACCAAATGATATAGTCTAAAAGAATAAAAAGAAATTCTAACTGAGGGCTTTAGGCTGCCTTCTCAGAAGACATTGGTCGCCATCCAGTGGCTTTCTAATGCTTTACTCAAATCTGTAAAATTTTGTAAATGAATCAGGAACAAAGCACATTTTCAATGTTACTGTATCTGAAAATGAAAGTTAAACAGAGCTCCACTGTCATAGCTCAGTTCCATTTAAATATCACAGTAAGGCTGGGCAGTGATTTTATTAATTACAGCTGTGTTTTTCTTACTTTAACATTGAAATATCTACTTTGACCCCCAATAAAACAGGGATTTATTATAATTGAACTGGCTTTCAGACAGTTAATCCCAACTACAAAATAGGCTACAACAAGGAAGAAACAGAACAATTGCTTATCCATTATTATTACAGCACAGTATGTGAAATCTGATTTAAACGGTCTCTTCTGTGGCTATTTGCAGTAAAATATTGCCACCTCCTGGTCCTTTAGGTACATGGCAGCAGGTCAACAGGTTTCAGTTCTCTCTCTCTCACACAAACACTGTGGTTCAGGGTTTTGTTAGGCTCTCACATCTGGTTATGTTAAAGTTAGAGGAATGCCCTACAAATGTGGCATCTGAATATTCGTCAGTCATGGTGATGTAACATACTGGTCATTCCTTTTCTATTTATTAACTTGTTTTATGGGTATGGAAGAGACGAAAATGCCTGCAAAGATATTAAAGTTTACATTATAAATAAGTGTTCAGTTGACTGTTTTGGTCTTTTTTTTTCATTCAAAGCAGTTCCTGTGACTTTGCAGTTACTGTGTTAGTATTTCCCCGGCCTTAGACGTAGTTATTGAGCCTATAACCACTGCTGGCAAGGGAGCAAAGGGAGGGAGCACGATTGTCCTTCAGGGCCTCGGGGGGCTTATACAGCGGAGAAGGAGGATATATGTTGTTGAAGGCAGGGGGAGGCGATGGTGGTTGATTCCTCTGCACATAGTGGGGCCTCTGTGACCTGTCACCACTGCTGCTCCAGCACAGCACCAGCCCTGCGGTCAGGCTGAGGAAGGCCGAGGCGTACCCGAGGTACACGGCCAGGCCGATCTCAAACTTCATCCCACTGAGAAGGAAGGGGTCGTAGAAATCCATGACAACATCGTTGGTGGTCCAGGACACAGTGACCAGGCAGAGCAGGCCAGCACAGAGAAAACAAACTGCCCCGCTTAGTGCAAGGGGAGACTTGATCAACGAGCCCTGGGCGAAGCGGGTACACTTCATTCCCATCACAGAAACCAGAGATGCCAGGACTGAGGTGATGCAGGAGAGAACCATGAGCGCCCGGGCAGCCTAATGCGGAGGAGAACAGACAAGCGTCTTGGGATTAAAACAGGATTCTCATAGAATTTTTCTCCTAGATCACTGTACAGTACTCTCCCAGTTATTTGGCAATCTATTAATCTACTGGTTAATTGATATATCAGTAAATAGATTTCCCCAAAATACTTGCCTGAAAGTGTTAGTAATTCTAAATTGTGAGTTAATTCTTCACCCTGAGCTCATTGTACACTCATTTATATCCAGTATAACCCTCAGTTTACACTTAAAGTGAGACTATGTAACTTCTGCTGAATAATGACTACTGTGGCCGCAAGTCACAATTATGGAGTAATGCTAAAATTGAGTATTAGTTAACAGTAGCACAAGTAGAAAAGAAATGACTTGGTAATGTAAATCACTGAGCGCACAGTATTGATCCCAAATCCCAAATATATTTAGTTTTTTTTTTTGAAAGAAGCAGCAAATCCTCACCTTTGAGAAGTTGAAATAAGAGAATGTTGTTGACATTAGTGCTTTAAAAATGTGATTTCAGCTCTTCTCATGATAACATAAGGTGCTCTGGAGTGAAGCTTTCACTAAATGGTGAATGTGCAGTACCTGCAGGTCGCGTGGCAGTGCCAGTAGAGATCTGTACAGCTCACACTGGTAGATGCCAGTGCTGTGCCATACACACTCCATCCACAGGCCTTTCATGTAGGCGGTGGCTGTGATGATGTTGGAGCCCAGGTAGGCTGTGCTGCGCCAGTGGGGGAGCAGAGTTGCAACAACAGTTCCTGCAAACCCCAACAGCCCCAAGAAGAAGCCAAGGAGTTGAACCGGCATGCTGGCCATGATTATTCTCACTCGGACAGCAACTGCAAAAAACAAAGTTACAGTTTGAAAACACTGTTGATGAGCATGTGTATAGTAGGAGAAGATTACTCTAATAGCCTTTGGATGTCTCTTACGTTGAATATGTCACTATGCCAGCACGTAAATATACACTGGATCCACAGATAATGTAAGAAAAAAGGAAAATCTACACACAGAAACAACATATCGCCACATAAAAAAGTAAAAAAAACACTTCTTCACACTCTTCTTATCTGCATGGTCCCCAGAAGTACAGTAAGTTCCACAGAGCTTACATCCAGTCACAGAGTCTGAGCCATTCCTCGAGTGTCTCTGGAGTGTGAGCAGAAATAGCTTTGGAAACTTTCTGGCTCTCTGGTGAGTGGCAGGTGACTGCATCTGTAACTAATGAGAGCAGTGTTCAGCTCCACCTGTTTAACGCTCTCCTCTGGAGGGCAAACCACAGCAGCCTATTTGTTAAGCTCCCCACCACCCCTCAGGAAAGGCGCGCTCGTGAGAGAGATCGGAAATTAAACATTTACAGAAACCATCCAAGCTGAGAGTACCGTTATAAACCACTAACTTTGAACATTTTTCACAGCTCCGCAGGGGGAGGGCTGGGGCGGCGGGGGTTGCAGGTCGGGGGAATGGCTTGATGACAAAGCATTTCTAGTTGATTAGCCCCAACCTGTGACCACAAGGGATAGTAGTGACTTGTTTTAAAAATCGGCCAAATTATATCATGTCCAATTTAATCTGAGATCACCAGGCACTAAATATTTACAAATTGACATGGACACGGAGAGAACTCTGTTGCGACGTTCATCTGGCCGTATTTCAAACAATGATGAGACTTCATTTCAGAAGGAAATTAACAATCTTGCAGAGTGATGCACAGAGAACAGCCTACTGCTAACCAAAGAGCTCAATCAGTGGGGCTGAGGTGGAGCAGGTGAACAGAGAACCTGACATGGTCATGTGACATCTCCATGCTGGTGAAAAAAGCTCAGAAAAGGCTGTATTTCTTAAGGAAACTCAAGAAGGCATAAATCAAATGCCAAGTTCTGGTTAACTTTTACAGAGGAGCAACAGAAAGCATCCTGACTGGAAACATCACCAACTGGCATCGGAGGTGCATGGTCCAGGACAGGAAGGCTCTGCAGCGGGTGATTAGAGTGCTTAGACGATCAATGGTACCCATTGTACCTACAGAGCCCGAAGGATACTAACAGACAGAACCCACCCCAGCCACAGCCTGTCCACCCTGCTGCCATCTGGCAAAACAGAAGTATTCGCTGTCGTACCACCAGACTTCAGAGCAGCTTCTTACCTCAGGCTGTGAGACTGCTCAATTCATCCTCATCCTTCGCACTGAACCATGAACCTTGAATATTGTGGTAAAAATCCACACCTGCCCAGGAGGCTCTAGGCCACAACTAAAGAGCTCCTCCCTCACAGTGAGAGCACTTGAAATGCATGGGTAGTTAAGCATTTACTTTTGTTTCCTCTCACTGTTTTGAACAAAATGTTCTCCAGGTGAAAATCCTGAATAATGAGTGAACAATGACCACCCAAGTCTCTGAAAAAATAAGATGTCAGCACTTAAAATATGTTTTTATTTACTGCCAATTATACCCCTTTAATGCAAATTTGCTTGATGTAACTGCAAGAATGAAAAAAACAACTTTAAACTTGAAACCACAATGTGCTCATACAGATCCATTGTTTTTACTTCCTCAGAGAACAGAGGCCCTTTATGAAGCCTGATTATTGTTCTGTGTTAGACCTGGCACGGTTGGGGCCTTAAAATATCAGAGATACAAGCCTCATTGTGCTTACTTAATGATTGACTGCACTGAAGGCATAACAAGTAAGCGATACAAACAAAGGCAAGGCTGTAACAAGCATCTTGTTTCACAGGTCCACAAATTAGCCCACCAAACAGCAAAGCCAATGTAATATTCATAACGTCGTGTAACTGGCCAATTGCAATTTCTGCACTATGAATTACTGGACATGCTGCTTAGCCATTCACATTTGAATATTTAGTAAAAACTTACCGACGAGGTTACGCGAGGACTACAGAGCCACAGGTGTCCTGACGGTGCACCTCCTGATAAACAGGGCCATTGGCATTGATTCCACACTGATCGTCTCCTTCTGTCTCTGCTGCTGCCTTAACTGACAAGGAATATGTGTCTGTGCTGCAGGATAGTCAGATAAGTGACTGGCCACTGTTAGATATCATCAACGGCAGCAGCATTATCCCCATCAGCATCAGGAGCATCATGTCAGAGATGACATGAGAGACAGTCCCAGTCCTGGCTTGTTGCTCCAGACGGATAAACAGGGTCTATGTCAAACCCGGAGGCAGAGCAGTGTTGCTGAGCAGACAGAAGAGATATTGTCCTCATTACTTGTGCTGGTTTTGTCTCAATAATTCAGCCCTCTGCATCTCCACATCTGTTGAATGAGTAACTGATGATAAAATGAAAAGAATTAATGAAAAAAATCAATAAATTAATCAGCGTATTGACTTTCAATCAACTTGTAGAAAAACATTAATTCACTGCAATTAGGATTCAATTAGGGTTCATTATGGCAGGCGTTTAAGCAGTAAAATACTACACTTAATCAACACTTCAAGTTGACAACCAAACTGTAGATGATAGTAATGTGGTACTGTGCGTGTGTTTGGTTGTGTGCGTGGTACCTACTGTACTCTCTGGGTTCCTCTGAGGTCCATCTTCCTGCTTTGCAGTTCTTCTCTCTCTCCACCTCTGTGCCTACCTAAGTGTAACCTACCGTGACATCCTGTTGGTATACAAGGGTTTCTTCCCGGCCCTGCCCCTGGGACCCTTGTGTATTATTCACTTCCCTGTAAGAGCTCTATAGTGAAGGGATGATCCTCTCCAAGGTCTGCCTGTGGGAGACGCCATTTGAAAGTGGAACACTTAATAGTCTTAGTTAAGCAGAATAATCCTGTGATTAGCAGCTAAGCATAGCCGGTTTGTTGCGCACAGTGATGGAGGGCAATGCAACCATGATGGTGTGTGTAGTAAAGGCCTTCATTTTTTGTGTTTTTATGTCTTCAGGGGTCTGAGATACAGGCCCTGCACACCCACACAGGATTAGACATGCTCCGGTTGAGGTCGGGTGGAGCCATGATGGGTGTTATGTGAAATCACCGAACTGCATTAACTAATAGTCAAGACAAAGCAATAAAACAACAACAAAAGACAAACACACAAAACTAATCACCCAAACTAACCCCTATGTGGGTGTACTATGGGGTCTTTAAGATAATTTGGTTGGCAATAAATCAACTGAATTATGGTGCAAGATCAATCTGCAAATGCTGAGTTACTATTTAATATTTGAGGAAAAAACTTTATTGGTACAAGACATGCATAAAATAATTTAAAAAGCCACTTTATGAAGAATAAATTGTGCTGTAACTATATTTAACATATTCTGTATTTATAGTAGTACATTATAGTAGACATTTCAGAGGAAAATACTTTTTAGTTTAACTACATTTCTTCTTCTTTAATATATTTTCCCTATTTTCTATGTGTCCTAGTGTTATCTGGACCACCTACTGTAAATTACAACAATCCCTCATATATCAGAAACTGAACACATTAAATATTTACACTTTATTACTAGTGAATACATACTAATAAGTGTTTGCATTTAACAGCAATTTGTAGTATTGTTTTACGGGAAAGAAGAAAGAGACTCATTCATCTGGAGACTTCAGCTCACTGTCGGTAAAGTTCAGTAACTCATTTTCGCGCCGTTGTGGCTGTCATCGAGGTCAGCTAGCAGCTAGCACACAGCTGACTTGACTTTTGCAGCTGATGTTTGCTGCCTGTTGACATTACTAATTACTTAATAGTATTGGTAAGACACTGCTTTAACGGTAGCTTGTATTTATATGTCTCAGTCTTTCACTAGATACACCTGAAGGTTAATGAAGTCACAACTAATTTAGCTCGTCAGTTCAGTTTAGCTAGCTAGGTTAGCTAGTTATCCTCCTGCTGGTAACGTTAGCTAACTTTTGGGGCGCTTGAGTTTCTTTTTAATTTCAAGACAAATTTGTCATTCTTTTTTAAATACAGTCACTTCAGCGGGGATGATTATGATGAGGAAAGCCTCCAGAAATGTTGGGAAGTACACACTGACACAAAAATCCCAGCAGTACAAGAGGACTCATTGTCGGGCCCGTCCGGCCAGAACCATCATGACTCGCAGCCAACGAAACGTTCACAGCTGCGGCAGCTTCTTCCACAGGCTGCCGTCAGAGGTGCTCCACATGATCCTGGATAAACTGTCTGGTAGGTTTAACTGCTTAGCCTTGTAACTCTTTACTACATGGCCCTCAGTGGGATTGAAACTGCTGTCAACAAATTAAACACTAGCTTTATATAATTAAAATACCCCCAAAATGAGCCCGATGAAAAGTACGTTAGCTAAGAGTCCAAACAGTATGAGTGATAAATTATGTCCCCTAGTAACGTTATTTAGGTTTGTGTTGTTGTTTTTTAACAGAAGACTGTATTTTGCATCTAAAAAAATACCACAGAGTTTGCTCTGATTGGATTAAAGTCCTAACATTTTGTACTTTTGTTCAGTATTATCAGCACACATTGAATAAGTAAAACTCAAAGTATATATAAATGATGGCGTTTATTTTAATTGAGAAATCTAAAACTAAATATTTCAGAATATTGCATACAGCGCATGTACCAAACAACAGTTTTTGCATTTATGTACCAATAATGATTTCTGTCTCTTCAATTCAACCACTAGTCTTAGGATACCTTTTACACAATTACTGAAGAGAACCAGTACTAATATTTTATTGTTTTTAAAAAAATATTTATATTACTGATTGAACACAGACACAATATGAACCACATGGAAATTTCAATATTTCACTCTAACAGGTTTGTTTTTGTCACATACCGCCTTTAGTGGATGAAAATGTGTGTGTTTGACAGTGCTGGAGATCAGTGTGTTCAGCATGGTGTCCAAGGAAATCACTAGATACCTTGTGGACTACATCTCCACCCTGCCCTGGAAAAATAAATGATCATTCAAAGCTTTCACCACTGCACCTGCCTTGAACAGAAATCCGCTATACGACACTACAGAGACCTGGGTAAGTGGCGGTTTATATTTCGCTGAATGTTTAAATTGGCATAGCTTTTCTCATTCTTCTAACAACCACTAACTGTTGATCTGTGGCAGGCACATTGCTGGTGTCCGCTCCCCACATTTAAGACACACTTGAATGATCACCACACAGCAGTAGGGATAAGCTGCTCTGTGATGTAAAGTGTTAGAGGTTAGGGTTGGAGATTTGATAATGTGCTTTTGTGTTCAATGTCTCAGGTTTGTTGTTCAAGAGATGTACCCTGTTGCTACCAACAAAGGACAGGTTAAAGTTTATCTTTAGCCAGTTTTCACAGGTAAGAAAAGGAGAGGTGAGAGGGCAAGCCGGAACAGAATATTGTGATGTGTTAAATGTTTTAAAGTCAGAATAATCATGTTTATAAGATGCTAACAACGGGATAGAATAGAAAAGAAAGAACAACAAATTAGGATCATGCACTTTGCCAGCGTATTATTTTTCAGATTTAGTAAGGTTGAATCATATAGAATCAATGTTGTAGTATTTGTGCTATTTATTTTTAAAAGGTACATATTTTAACTTTTAACTTCCAAGTGGTTATTAGGACACAGAAAACCTTTTTCGCGTCACATGAAATTTTTAAAAAACAACATACTTTTTAGATAACAGATTTTTATTCTTCATTTAGGAAATATCTTCCTTTGTCGTCACTCATTTAAATTTTATGCTGCAGAAATCCACACAAGATGATCGTTGGCATGCTAAACTACCAGTCACACCACCACTTGTAACACAGAAACTGTTATTACATCAGGCTAAATTATCCATCGTGTCTGATGGTCTTTAAAACTAGTCATGAAAAAGCTAAATGGTTTACATGGTGTAATTTGCCTCATTGCCCAACATCTTTTGCAAAGTTGTACATGCGTATGTTGCAGTGCTGTTGCTGAAACCATATATTATTCAGCCCTAATATCTATTTACTAACCTATGCTAATGATGAGCAAAATAAATCGGTTTCAGATTCCCTGCTTCATGTTGGAGCAGTGTTTAGCAGCAGACTGCATTGGCTTCTCCAGCTACGGAGTCTTCCTCCAGGTGAGGGTCTTATGTAAAGACATAAACTTGGATGTAATTAAAGTAAATCACAAACCAGATACTACTAAAGGTGGATGAACACAATATGATTGCATTAAAATTCCAAGCTTTAAGGTATTCTCCTCTGCTTTCTTTTCAGTAACAAATACTCACACCCAGTAGTTACAGCATTCAAGTGACATGGAAATGTACATCACTCGGCACTGATAAAGACATAACACATTATTTTTCACTATGACAAAGTCTTTTCTATGAAACTGAAAAGTTTTGTCTTGCAATTCCAAACTCTCCTCACGTCTAGTTTTTATTGGACTTTGGTGTCCAGCACACACACTAGATCGCGCCTTTATAATATGTCATCACCTCACCTACTTTACTCAAAGCGAAATACTCACCATCACCTACGCAACCATGATTGTTGAAGACTGAAAACACAGAAAAATTGAAATAACTCCGGTTATATATAAAATCTTAGGCTTCTTATCAGTGATGTCTTCCCTTTGTGTCCCACCCCAGTGCTTGGCAACAGGAAATATGTACATGATATATTTTCTCTTAACTGAAAATGTTTAGGTATGTTTACTTTACAGACACTGATTGCAGGGTGGGATGAGCTGGAGTGCCACAGAGTGTTCAACTTCCTGTGTGACCTCACAAATCTGCTACAAAAAATTCAGGCAGTCATCACTGGAAAACCAGGTGAGAAAATGTTGCTGAATATAGAGCAGGCCAGAGTAGAAGTGTAAAACTAAAACTTCTTTCTTTTAAGTTACAATGTGTAGAATTGTTAATTAATACATCTTTCACGCTACATTTTTTATTTTTCTGAGCTAATGAAAGCCTTAAAAGGCATGATAGACAAAACTTGTTTCTTTACTCGTTGGTCGGTCTTCAGGGTTGAGGTGGTACCAGGAGCTGCAGCTCCGTCTATTCTGCCGTCAGGTTCTGTTAGACCCGTGGCCGAACCAGCCCGAGTGTCAGTTCTGGCTAATGCAGCTCCTGAAGCCTTGGCCCATTGTCAGCCAGGCACACTTACTGTTCATCTTCTATGGACCTCTGCTTCCTGAGGGTAAGGGTAAATGAAAATGATCAGTTAGTGGGGTTTGTGTTTATTTGACTTTATGAAAACATGTAAATTGGGATGTAAGTTTAAGACAAGCACAAGTGTTCAGTGGATAAAAGCAAAGCACAGAAATGAGTTCTGGTTTGAAATCCTGCATAGCTTACTTTAATGCTGGAAGATTTGGCTTGCCTCCTGTTCTGTATTTTTATTTTTTTGTAATGTGGTGAGGTATGACCCAGTTAGTAAGTGAGGTGCTCTCCTCCATGCAGGCACTCTTGGTTGGCAGGATGTGGTGGAGAGGGGGCTGCCTCACAGCGCTCTGTGGGACCTGGCCAGGGCCATCCTCCTGCTTTTCAGCAAACTAGAAGTCAAAGACAGGACCACCACTTCGATGCTGGCAATCTTGGAGGAGCTCATTGGTATCATACTTAATTGGTTTCTTAAATGTTTTCATGACACAGACCCCGTATTACAATTATGGACCCCTATGTGATAAGATATGGCAATGACAAAGATGCAGGGTATAGATGCATTTAACTGATTGTAGACTTGCCCTCCTCCTCATCACATCCAGTCATTCCTCAGCCATGGCATGTGGAGAATGTGGCTCGTCTCTTGGTGCTGTGTGGCAACAGCCTCTGCTACACTGTTCTAGCCAGCAAGGCTGTCAATGGACGACTTATTGAGATCTCCAGACTCATCGTGTACATCATACTGGTGAGAATACTAGTTATTGTTGTCTGCTGAGGAGATTACAAGAAACTGGCTCAAGAGAATACACATCTACACTTAGTCTGGTATTGGCTTTTAATTGAGAATCAGATATTAGCCAGCATTGACAGACGTACAGTTGATTAATATCAGATTAAACGTAGATTCAGGACAGGTGTGCATCCAGGAATAGATTGAGGCAGACAGTGAAATGAGTCATCTTGAACTCTTCACCTATTGCTTTTCCCTGGCCGTTGTGACTCATTTTGCCACGTCTTCTCATTCCTGTTTAGTTTCAGGGGTCTGAGACTTGACCAAACATGTCCTAGACAAATGGCAGGGGCATATGATGGACAGGTCTCCCCTTTATTACAGCAGTCTCACTTAACTGTTATTTGGGGGCTTTCAGAGCCACTTGTGCTGTTTGTGGATCTGATGTTGACTGTTTATGCTGTTACCTCCTCATAGTGGCACCATTATTATTAACTAAGAATTTTTAATTTTAGTAATTAAAGCTAGACAAGATCAGTTTTCTGTTTTGTACGGCTTCATCCTTAGGTGTGTGAGAAGGACGGCTATCACATGTCCTGGGCGGTGAAGTTGGTGCAGCAGATCTGCAAGGTGTTCAGCACGGCTGCTGAAAGGTTCTTCTTCATCCAGCAACTGGAGAGCACGTTTTCAGAGGTCACCAGGCAGTTTTTTGAGTTTTCTATCGCAGGTGAGGTGGGCAGTTTTCTGGAGTGTAAATTTCATTTCATAAAGTTCTTTAGTCTTGACAATGGGGGGAGTGGTTCCTTGCGTTAAGTAATATAATACTGTAGTATTGTGATATTGCAATCATCAGATCATGAATAAACGATAACTACAACACTGAGATGGTGGGCAAAGCTCCAATAATAACATATTGAATGAAAAATGACAAAACAAACAAGGGAATCACATCATATGAGTACATGCACAATCATAAATTATGTACTATATGGACACAGTACACATTCTGTATATAGAGGAAAAGCCTGCTGTGCGGAGCTGTGTTGATGTGTGGCTGTGTATGTGTGTGACAGCTAGGACAGAAGGGATTACCTTATTTTTCATCTCGGCTGGATATATTATGGTCTCAGTTTCGCCTCCTAGAGCAAACCATCATTTGTTTGCCTCTGATTACCTTCCTCCTTTAATTTATTGCATTCACTGTATCTGCACCCATGCTAATGGTACATGATAATAATGGAGCGCTGCATTCATTACATTGTTAATGTTAATATAGAAAAAAGGCAACCAGTTTCAAGCTCTGCTATAGAGCAAGCTGAGCAAGTTTCCTTTCAGCATGAGTGGGGTAATTCCATTAGAAAAATGATTGGAGTGATTTTAGACTGCCTGAGTGGAGATTGAACTTCCTACCACTTGGCTAACATACTATATCCGTATTTGTATTCCCTAGTCAGTTGGTTCTCCACCTTTTTGGCATGTGAGTGACCCTTTAAAACAATTCCCACTCGAGACCACCTCTCTATCATAGTCTGCATTAGCAGTGAACAATATACATAGTTTTCTGAAGTACATCTCCGACTTTGCAACTGTATCTTGTTCATCATATTACTAACCCTCAGATTTATCTTGTAACTCCATGGGGGGTCTTGACCCCCAAGTTGGGAACCACTGTCTGCCCTACACAGGTCTCTGTGTACCTTACAGAATGCCTCAAACTCAAATTAAAAGTGATATAAAAAGTAATTAATTCCATCATCTGTTCCCAGAGAACCATTTTGAAGACAGGGAGACCTTCCAGTCCCTGTGCATCCTCCTGGACTCCAGTGCTCGCTTCCACACTAAATTCCTCCACATGTTCCTCAAATAGGAATGACAAGATGTATAAGATTGGAGGAGGAGTTGGAAAGAAAGAAATGCCAATAATGAAGGGGGTTAACTAAAGAAGTGAACGAAAGTGAGAGTGAAGGACCTTTACAGCAAAAGTAAGATCAAATGGGAGGTGAAGACAGGGGAGTGTTGTCATGGTAGCCTTGACAGTTTAGATAAATCTGGGGCTATAAACAACACCACATTTGTTGGTTGAAAGAGCTGTTTAATAACTTTGGCTAAACAGCATGGTTATTTATACAAATTTTATATTTCTCAAAGTTTTAAAATCTTGTTCTTCTTAAACATCTTGCATGTTTTATGAACTGTATTTAATATTTATTAACAGTAACATAATTTATTGACACTATTATTTATTCACATTGTTAATATAGTTGTAATACATTGTTTTTGTATGATTTATTAAATTGTTTTTCAGTTTCAAGGCATTTTGTGGCTGCTCTATTACAAAAACAGAAACACAGCATGCACTCAGCAAACAACAGGCTTTTATTATCCTCCAGGTGGTACAATATTCAGCACTTACAGCGTTTTCAAAAAAGTTAATTAAAGCTAAAATAAAATGTGTCATGGAATACAAAAGAAGCTGCTTTAAATAAAAATGTTTAAATGTTAACTGCATACAGAAACAGAATTAAGGATATTTTCAGTTTACACTAAGTTATTCAGACTGCATTCACATTTGTGTCAGTAATGATGTGTAACATTGGTGACTAACTAGTGGTGGGTGCTTTAGATAATTGAGTAAGTCATATCCAAATTATACTATCATCGGGATTTGTTTTTCATGGTGTCAAAGTCGTAGCACGCGCAGGAACTACTGGGTTATTTGACATTGACATTTAAGGCCTACAACATCAAGTGTGACAAATTCTCCAAATGGTGAATGAGGCCCAGTTACCACATCGCGTCCAGTGTCCGAGGCATTTCAGTCATTCATGTGTTCATTGTTTTGATGTGATCTGGTGGGGAATAACAGAAGCATTTAGATTTTTTATGGAGTCTGGTTGCACTTTCTTCATACATGGCATAAGGGTTTGGGTCCAAAAGGAAAAAAAACTGTGATACAAATATAATTGTTGTGGTCACAGAGCATGTTTGCAAAACTACGACAGATTTTGAGTGGGTTCCAGGGGTGGGAGCGTCAGGAAATGTACACAACACATCCACTTTACATTCACATTGAAGAGGGGTAGATCAAAAATAATTGCAAGATCTACAGTAAATACCAAACAAACGCCCCATATGGATGGGATTTATTTCTGAAGGGGAGGTTAAGTGATTTTCACATTAAATGATTTTCCTTTGTGAATTACAGTCTCAGATACCTGCTGTTTTGGGGAATGTTCATTTGGCCTCCCATGCCTTAAATCCAATCCAAAGAGATACTGAGATACAATCTACCACCACAGTCACTTTACATGTTGACATGATGATACTTACTGTGCAATTTGTTCTATGGGTACAAAAAAAGACATGTCTTAATACAGGTGGTAGGATGCAGACAGCATTTTAACATTGACATTTCAATTCTGAGCACAATTTAGTCTGGCCTTTTTCTTTCTTTCTTTTTGGCCCAGTTTGACTGTTTTTTTTATTTTTGTTATTTACTAGACACATTACCTTGTAGCCAGTCCAACCCTTCCTGTAGGCCCTCTCCTTTGATAGCATTGCTGGCACTGGAAAAACAAGATGTCCTGGAGTTAATCTCCTTGTGGCACAGATTCATTTTCTCATGACTTTTCTTGGATCCTGGATGTTAAAACTCTGTCTAGCTCTTAATCCACCTGCCTTCCATCTGTCTAATGAGTAAACAGGGTTGAAAACACACATATAGAAGAGCCAGGCTATTTGATAACAGCATGTTGCTGTGCTTCCTAATAATGTTTAACCTGAGCCATTGAAAAATCATAAATATGCAGCCATTTGGAAACAAGCCCAGGGTGTAACCAGTGATTAAACATGCCTGGTCACTTTATTGTCTCTGTTTAAGACTTTAAGCTGTAACTCTGGAAGCACAAAATGTTGTGGATTGAGGAAGTGACAGGGCTTGGCTCAGTTCAGTCAATTTAATCCAAATGCACTTCCTTCAAAACTACCCAATGAGCCCCGTAGCAAGCTACTCAACAATGTCTCTGGAGGTGGTAAAGTTTTTCTGCCTTTTGAATATTTTACAGTAACGTGGTCACATGAATCGGATCCTTCTGTAAGAAGAAATAATGAAGTAGTAATCTCTGGTTTGGTCTGTTTGGAAACATTTGACAGATATGTTACCAGATGTGCCAGGGCTTGTCTTTGATGTTCTCCAAACACAACATCTGTGAGACCTTGACAGAAGACATGGCGTCCCGCAGATCCATCTTGTTAGCAAAGAACAGTACTGGTATCTTTTTGCTTTGGATATCTAGATAGTAAGACATATAAGAAGAACAGTGAAGCCAAGATCAAAATTGTTTTAAATATTTTTTGTGTGTGGAATTTATTCAATAAGGTGTTAAGGAGTATCAGCAGAGAGTTTATAGGTTGTGTAGATATATATAATAAAAGCAACCATTTTCTTCAAATAACACAAAAAATAATAAAAGTTGCACCATATTGGACCATATGTCATGATGGAAGACTAAAACTAGCAGGTTTCCCTTCAACCAAAGTGGACACTCAGTGACTTCAAAGATTTCTCCATCAATTTTTCTTAAAGGCATGCTGGCCAATGAAATAAACATGTAGTCTTTCACTGGACTGAAAACAACTTGTAGCCTTCCATACTATGTTGTTTAACATGCCGGATTTAGACAATGCGCTACTAACAACTGAAACCCAGGACGCTGCTTATAGCCAATAAAAATGCAAATGTTCAGGAACTGTATCACAGATCCTGAACCACGCTTGATAATGCATCCATCCATCCATCGTCAACTACTTATCCTACAGGGTCGCGGGGGCGCCGGGGCCAGTCCCAGCTGACATCGGGCGAAAGGCAGGGTACACCCCGGACAGGTCGCCAGTCCATCACAGGGCCACACATAGACCACACATAGTCAAACTCACATCCACACCTAAGGACAATTTTAGAGACACCAATTAACCAAGCCTGCATGTCTTTGGATGGTGGGAGGAAGCTGGAGCACCCGGAGAGAATCCACGCAGACATGGGGAGAACATGCAAACTCCACACAGCTGGGGCAACCGGGGTTTGAACCCATGGCCTTCTTGCTAACCAGGATTGGTGCTAACCACTGCACCACCGCGCCGCGCCGTGGTATGCTTTTAACAAAGGGAAACATTGCTCAGAGACTTTGGTCCATATTGACATGAATATTGAACTCATTGTCATGTTCAAGAAACCAGTTTGAGATGATTTGAGCGTTGTGACATGGTGCATTATCCTGCAGGAAGAAGCCTTCAGAAGATGGGTACACTGTGGTCATAAAGGGATGGACATGGTCAGAAACAATACTCAGGTAGGCTGTCATGTTTAAACAATGCTCAATTGGTGCTAAGGGGCCCAAAGTGTGCCAAGAAAATATCCCCCACACCCATTACACCACCACCACCAGCCTGAACCTTTGATACAAGGCGGATGGATTCATGCTTTCATGTTGTTTAGGCCAAATTCTGAATGTTGCATCTGAAATCAAGACTCATCAGACCAGGCAACGTTTTTCCAATCTTCTATTGTCCAATTATGGTGAGCCTGTGCAAATTGTAGCCTCAGTTTCCTGTTCTTAGCTGACAGGAGTGGCACCCAGCGTGGTCTGCTGCTGTAGCCCATCTGCTTCAAGGATCGACGTGCTGTGCGTTCAGAAATTGTAGTCTGCATACCTTGGTTGTACCGAGTGGATATTTGAGTGTCCTCTGACATCAACAAGGCATTTTCATCCACACAACTGCTGCTCACTGGAAATTCTCTTTTATTCGGACCCCTCTCTGTAAACCATAGAGGTAGTTGATGGCTGATGCTCGGTTGAACTTCAGCAAATTGTCTTGACCATGTCTACATTCCTAAATGCATTGAGTTGCTGCCATGTGATTGGCTGATTAGGTATTTGGGTTGACACGCAAGTGAACAGGCCGTGAGTGTATGTTGCATGAGACATACAGTATATGTCAAGTATGCTTTTTACTGGAAAGACAAACAATAAGTATTGCAGGTGTTTTGTACCTTCGTGATTGAGAAGAGTATCTAGCTCCTCTTTGGCAACAACCATTCTCAGTTTGTCACTGCTGTCAATGACAAATATGATGGCATGGCTTTCTCTGAGGAGGACAAGAGAAGAAGTCTTAACTGACACAGTCATGTTGCTGTAACGTGCTTTATTATTTGATGATTGATGGGCATGTTGTGTGTTTCATACTTGTAGTAATGTTCCCATAGGTTCCTATATCTGGTCTGTCCAGACATATCAAAGACTGTAAAAGACAGGCTGCATGCAGAGAGAGAGAGAGAGAAAGGAGGGAAAAGAGAACAGTTTAGAGTGACACTTAGTGGTGCATAAGCCATTTTTTTTATTTCATGGATGGTAAATAGTCAAAAAGGAATAAATACACATTATAAATGTCTATAGGATTCTACCTTGAACTCTTGAACTTTTCAATGTTGAAGCCAATTGTTGGGACTATGTCTTGTGCCTGTGTCTACACACACACGCACAGAGACATACATGCACACACAAACACAAACACACAAAAACAGACAAGTAATGGCAAAAGTATGTCAACAAGGATGTAAGGATAAGGAAAGTATGATATGGGATTTACCTGACTAGCATGTTTCCACTCTTCTGACAATGGGCCTAAATGATTCGAATGCTGAAAACAAGCAATCAGTGAATGATTGCAGTGACATAAAGGAGATTTTGACAGGCCTTTTCACAATATTTATTTTAGTTATCAGTTTGAGATTCATGGCAGGACTACACAGAGTGCACATAGGCCTCTCAATTCCACAAGATCGGTGTTATGAAAACATCAAAATGCACTCACAATAAGACCCAGTTCCATGTACTTACATTAGCCGGTTTGAGTTGGTTGATGATGGTAGTTTTGCCGCTGTTGTCCAGTCCCAAACACAAAACGTTGACCTCTTTCTTCCTCAGGCCGAGCCAGCCTGACAGTTTGTCCAGCAGCCCCATTAGAGTTGATTGACGCTACACCATTTAAATTTAAATTTCAACGCTATCACCCCATAGAGAGTCTGACTACTGGAAATGAAACACACTAAATTTGAAAATTCTCATGGAAGCAGACAACAATGACAAACATAGCCGTGAATAGTGTTCCTGCGAACTTGCTGTGACTAGTGTCACTGAGACGCCGCCTGGGCATCCCAGCTTGTGACAGATAATCCTATTAGGGTGAATTAAGCTCTGTGAACCACCCAGTGACCTGATCACAGAGTATGGAGCTTTCCAGGGCCCCCGCCCCCTTACCTTACCTTAATTGGAGCTGCTATCAATCTGTTGTGCCAGTCTGTGTGCTTTACAGTGATTCAAGCAATCTGTAATAGAGTGTTGTAAATATGTGATAAATCAGACAAATAGACTAGGAGGTCATGAATGTCCTAAAATGTGTTCACTATATACTCATACATGAATACAGAGATATTGTTCGCCCTGAAAATGTAAATATAATGGGAAAATATGTGTTTTAAAGTACGGAAGAGGCAAACTCAGCAAAAATATATCATGTCTAATCTGGAAATCTAAAATTAAATTGATTGAGGGAATTCACTGGACTTCTGACATGGCGGGTGTGGAGCTAGTCAGTGGTCCAACAGCTCCATCTTTTGGTTATCAGTTATGTGAATGACTTCATGAAAGTTGCCAGGTTGAAGAGGTCGTAAAGGTGTGAAAATAATTCACATTAAATGCAAAGTAAAGACACTGAGCTAACTAATTGAAATTTGACTTCTATTAAGTTATATCCACTGAAGGGATTGCCCCTGCCAGGTTTCTTGAGTGAGGCAAGTTTGGTTCTCCTTCAGTTTTAGCACAGAAAACAATGACATTTTACAACCTGAAAAGTATAAGATGCTTCCTCTGAATCAATTCTCATCGTCCGGAAAATCGAAACTAAATGAAATGAGCAGCCGACCACCAGAACTGTTCATTTTTATTTGCAAATAAATATTCGCTGTAACTGCCTCTTACAGTGTGCAAGATCTACAACATCTCTTTGGAAATTATAGAAAAATAAAATACAAGAATTATAAGTATACTTGTACTTTGTACAAAAGAACGTTCTAACATTGCTCAGCAGTAGAACATGCTAAACAAACAGCATCTGATATTCTCCAAATTCTGTAGAGGGGTGGTGACTGTGAGAGTGTGTGTGTATGTGTGTGCAAATACGTGTTTGTGTTTGTGTGTGTGTGTGTGTGTGCGTTTGGATGTGTTCCTGCACCTTTTCCTACTACTGAAGGCCTGCATGTACAACTCAAACTAATGGACTATGGTCTTGTGACTGCATTGAAGCCTATGAACAACTCTTAAGTGTTTCTGTCTAGCATGGTTAACGGACTGTAAGGCATTTTGTGTGTGTATATCAGTGTGTGTGTGTGTGTGTGTATGTGTGTGTGCGCACACATGGGTTTGTTACTGTTGATTTCAGAATAACACGTGATGAGTTATGATGCTGCTGTTTATGTTCGTCCCCTCTCTGCCCTCCTTAAAGCCATCTACTCTCATCTGTCCTGATGACACTAAGCTACGATTCCTGCCTTTTCTCTCTGCTTTCCATCCACTAGGTTTTAGCTACTTCTGCTGCCTTCAGCTCAACTAACTAGTTATATTCTGTAGCACTGCCTATCCCCCACTGACTTAGAGAATCAAGAAAAAATGTTGATTTCAATGGCAAACATCTGAAAACTTGACATCATCTACTGCAGATCCAACAATTTTTCATTTCAGACTACATCTATATACACTGGTTTCCCCATACTGCCACTAAATGCCACAACCTTTACATGACCACAATGTAAAAAAAGACTGGAAATCCATCAAGTGGCTTTGCACCTACAACGATTACTCTGCTCTGACATCTTGGATCAACTTTGCCCCAGATGTGCAAACCTCTGCCTGTATTGGTGTGTGCGTGCAAGCAAAAAGAAACAATGAATGTGTATGAAGGATTTCAGCTAATTCTGAAGAACCATAGAAGTCCATGTTAAGTTTCCAGACAATCTTCTCCTATCTATATCTAACTTCTGTGAACATTCATATGTTAAGACAGTGGAGCTTGTGTACTTTCAGGCAATGTATAACATTCACAATCCAGAAAAAAATAAATACATGTCAGGCTTATCAAACGACTGTGAGTACACTGGTTGCTAAAAACTGTCAGTATAGACTTGTATGGTTATTCATCTGAAGGCAACAGATTCCAGTTCTGCAAGCTTGGCATGTGACAATAAAAACAGGTGGATGGTGTGAGCCTCAACAAGAGTTCTCTCATTGCACAATTCTTCATCTCTCTCTGAGATACTGAGATGACTGCATAATACTGTATTGCTGATTTGGATAAAACTCTCAAATAAATAAAACATTTTAAAGAAGATCCAGATTTACTAGGGCTTTTACACACAGGACTGCACATATATAGATATTCGGTTATGATAATAATTATCGATTAACTGTCTATACACTTTTAAAACATTCAAGAAATCTCCACAGCTCGCTTCTCACTTCTTTCTTCAAGTATTAGCGTACCAGATTCTCTGGAGAGAGGGTAAACTAAAGCAATGCAAATAATTTTCCTCTGTGAGAAATGATCAAACTCTAAATTAAAAAATATATCGAGGATACTTTTTTCAAAACAGGACATAACTTTTTCGATTGCACATCCGATAGCAGCTACATGAGCACATAACTCGGAGCGAGAAAAGGAAAAAACAAACAACCAAAACAGTCAAAAGATTCAGTAGATTACGTTTGCAAATCTACATGTCTAGGTATTGTTGCTTCACACACAAAGTACTGCTGTTGCAACAAGGCATTACATTCCCCTAAGTGAGGGCCTGGCCCAGTCTTTAAAGTCTATCAGGCTGTAATAGTCTGGCAGAACCAGGTATACTGGGTAAGGGGTGTATAGTAGGAAAAAGTCTGTTACTACTGGATGTGAGGGAGACCAGCAGACTGCCCTGCTGTGTCTGTCCAATGACCTCCTGGACGAGGGGTTATGACTCAGGCACAGGCTGTAGACTGTCGGTCCAACGGTCTAGACTTCACTTCCATCTGGTTCATCTATCTGTCCATCCCAGGTTGTCTTAAAGGGTGTCCTCATACATGGAAACCCTTCTCCTGTTCGTGCAGTAGCTGGAGGCGGAGGGTCTGTACGCTGCTGCTGATCCGCCGCTGGTGACCGATCAGCTCCACCCCTATACGCCTCACATCTCTAGGCCGAGAGGGGAAACACAAACACGCACGCACGCACGCACGCACGCACGCACGCACGCACGCACGCACGCACGCACGCACGCACGCACGCACGCACTTTAACTATCACTTCATTAATTGCATAATTAGTGTCAGAGAGAACCTCTAAGTCGTGTAGGCAATGTTTACGCTGTCTGGCAAAAGGCAGCAATGTTTTAATCACAAATATTCTATAAGCTTCATTCATATAAGGTCTGAGTGAGGATTGACAAGTAAAACACATCTTGTAAAAACATTGCATGTATGTAAGGAGACCAGAATCTCAAACAGACACAGACAATTACCACATCAATAATATATATAATCATCCATTTTTGATTAAAAACACTTATTTAGCATTGTTCATGTAATCTTGTATACCTTGGTTTTTCTTTATTTCTCCTCAATTTTCATGTGTAAGATTTTACAGTATTGACCAGTATCATATTAAGGATGTTTTTATACATCATTGATGTGGTATTTAATTGTCTCCCCCTTTTTGATTGAAATGTGTTATTAATATAATGCTGAATCGTGACAGAAACATTGTGCCTCTCATTAGCTCAGCGCTGACGGTGCGCTGGAATATAACCTTTCATTTTCATACACACCTGTCTACCAGGTCAGAATAATAAAACTAGTTTGTATGTAAGAAAATACGAGCTCACGTGTGATTTGAACACACTGAAACTGGATCATTTAAGTAATTGAATTCTAGCAGTTTAGTATGACACTGACATAAAGTTGGGGAACTTGTGAGAAACAGAATGGTCATCTTAAAAGCAGCAGAGGCCAAAATATCCCGACTTTTAGTCCCCTGAACCCTGAATCCTAAACTTCCCATAATACCACTTGTCTGATAAAGTCCACTCTGAAACTCCACAGGCTTTCAGAAAAAGGTTGAAGTCTTAAAGAGGTGGTATTATGCTTTTTGGCTTTTCCTCTCTCCTTTATTGAGTTATATATCTTTTTTGTGCATGTAATAGGTTTGCAAAGTGAAAAAGCCCAAAGTCCAGCCCAAAGGGAGTTCCCATCTCCCACAGAAAGCTCTGCTCTGAACCGCTTGAAAACAGCTCGTTTGTAGTCCAGCCGTTTCCCTTCCTTCACTGTGACGTCACAATGAAAACGCGTCATAAAGCTTGCCAAGAGGCTAGCGGGGGTCAGGCACACCCTCAAACCAAACTAGTCTAAGCGTACGCCCTTTGATTTTAGTTAAGCCCCTTTTCCACTGCACAGTACCAGCTCGACTTGGCTCGACTCGCGGGGATGCCTGTGCCAACCTGCGGGAGGAGCTGGCCTGCTCACAGAGCCCTCTGCTCCCGCCGTCACACGTTTTAACTTAAAAAAGAGAAAGCTGTGTGGATTGCTGGTCTATGTGTCGCAGTTGTGTGTGGCGTTGCTATTACGACAAGCTATGTACTATCTCTGGGTACTATCTCCAATGGAAAACGGAGCAGAGTCGAGTCTATCGATTTGCGCCATGTCAGAACACCGGCAACAGTTTAGTCCTAAAAGACGATGCAACTCCGACTCTGTTTGTAAGATGTGGAACAATGATGTTGTGTGGTTGTGGACTAGAGTAACTTATACCATCTGCTAGGTTATGGTCTCAGTCTGAAGCGGCTTTGATTTGGATCACACTACCTTGTTTCTTACGACCCGCCCTCCTCTGCTTCTGATTGGCTAGTAGTCCTTAGCTGGGAACTGCGCATGTGCAATTC